CTCCCGTCGCGAGAATGTCTTGTTTTGCCTTTAGTTTTTTATAAACCGCTGTACTTTCGACATGGAGTTTCCGCTCCCCCTTGGTGGAGATGTCATTTTATTTTTAATCCTTAGCCGGAATGGGTTATCGTGTGATTTTTCGTGCTTCAGTGTTCGGCTTTTAATTTTTAATTTTGCATTAGTAGTTTCATCCGGTCGGAGAGACTTTCTCCTCCGTGGCCTAGAATGTTTTTTATGTTGTTGCCTCCCACCCACCCTCTCCCTCCTTTCTCTTGGATGTGGTTTTGCAAATTGAGGGGCATGGTGTTGGATGCGATGGTTATTTACAGTTTACGTGCGAGATCTGTTCGAAACTTTGGATCTGGAGGGTTAGGTTACCGTAAAGGAGAGGAGACGCTGGTGTTGCTTTGCAATGGTTCCTTAAAATGCGCGGGCCGCCCCTCCCCCCCCCCCCCCCCCGCCCCCCCCCCCCCGTGGAGCCCCATCTTCCCTTCACACTGGAGTGTGAATTCCATACCCCTTTTCTCCCACGGACCGCCGGATTTCACAGCAGCCACACCCTGTATTTGTCTCTGTGGATTGGACTCATTATCAGCTTAATTTAGTGATTCTTAAACCACCATGATGGGACTTGCTTAAGCACGAAGCTTCTTTTCCTGTTCAGTCCTAGTGGTTAGTGTCGAAAGAGGAATAATCGAGGTTTCTTGAAACCTGGTGCGGTCCAACCTCTGCCTTTTTTCTGTTGTCTTTTTTCCTACTCCGGGCTGTTGGCGGTGTCAGCACCGCTGCTGGGGGCGGGGGTGGAGGGGAGAAAGAGTCGGGTTACCGAAGTGCGTCATTCCTGGCTCTAGCAGGGCCTGCTCGGGAGCTGCTGGTGTTTGTTACTGTCCTCGCTGCACTTTCCTGCCAACCTTCCCTCTCTGCGTATTGGTTAGGAGCAAAAGCAGGAGGCGGTCTCCTAATTCTGTCTGTAGCCTAGCGCGTTGCGTTTAAGGGTATATATGAACTTACTTGAGAAGAAACAAAAAAAAAAAAAGAAAGAAAGAAAAGAAACTGGCCCTGGAAAGTGGAGACATTTCTGTTTAATGACTTACAATTCAGGTAGTTTAGACTTGCTTTCATATGTTTTCCAGTGAACACGGGTTAATTTTGAACGTTTTAAGCCACTTAGGTTAAAATGCCTGGTTTTCTTTCTACATTGATATCAATCTATAATTAGGGATCAGAAGTACCAGTTAAGGCATAAGTGTTCAGCGGTTTTTCAAGTGGTTGAATTGTAATTTTATGACACATTATGTTAAATAGCCTGTTTTTTTTTCGTTTTGAGCTAAGGTGCTACGTGAATGCAGGCTAATCGAAGCAGTGTAAGTTAATTTTCATCAGATATTCCTATTTGTCCTTGTAGATCTTTTTGAAAAAGTGTCCTTTGAGTTTTATGGACGCCGTGAAAATTCGTAAAGATGGTTATTTCTTTGTTTTTAACTGAATTCTTGAAGGAACTTCCCTCTTATCAAGGAGTTTGTGCAGGGTGACTGTACAGTTACATTGTTGGATTTTTGACTTCCTAATTTTCTAGTCTGCTACTTTTGCTATCTTAGTATACTCACTGAACTTAGTGGCTTCCTCTCAATTCTTTTTGAAGATAATAATTGGGGGAGGGAGTGGGCAGGAGGTAGAGATGAAACAGAAGTGGCCTTTAGTTGATTATTGTAGCTGGATGAGTACTGGAGAGCTCATTGTTACTATTCTCTACTTTAGTGTGTACTTGAAAATTTCCACAGTTCCAAAGGAAACAGTCTGAAGAAGAAAATTTCCGGATTGTTTTGCAATTGTAGTGTAAATAATTAAGTTTATATTTACATATCAAAATTATTTGCATGGGAAACAGTCTCACTTATGAGTAATTACACAATGCCTGGCATACGAACTTTCAAAAAATATTTAAACGGAGCCAGTGGGGAACAGGCAACATAAATACTTATAAATTGGTTGAACTTTAAGTGTTTGTAACTTAGTCAGCTGTGCTCTACTTTTAGTTTCATTTTTAATTCTTTAAAAATAGGAAAATTCCATTTGCAAATTTTGTAAAATGTGCTTGGTGTCTATTTCACCAAGTTGCAGTTACAGTGAGTCAGTAAGCGAGGGATTTACTATTAATAGGAGGGGCTTTGGCATTTGGAGTAAGTGACAGTGGAAGCCATTGGGGTGCCATGGGGAGCATTCCTGGTAGGAAGATCAAGGTAGCTGAAATTGGTTTCAGTGTCTGGTTGTTTAATGACTGGTTAGAGAGCAGATTAGAAAAGAAATGTACTTATTAGCCATTCCTTCCTACTGTGAAATAACCGTACTATTCTAAGGTATCAGACTGGCAGGGAGGGTGTACTGGGTTCTCTTTTAAAAAGCTGATATGAAAATGAGGGTTTAGGTTTAAAATAATTGTATTTCCTTCACCCCCTTAATATTTTATCAATTGATAGATAAAATACTTGAATATTTTCTGTTAACGTTCTGACCATTACCTATCAGTAAAGTGCATTGTAGTTAAACCTCTATAAATCTTTTTAATTGGTGTATTTGTGAACTGTTGCTAAATTTTTTTAAGGTAAGTCTCATATTTTCTGCAGTTGTTGTATAGTTCTTTGTCACGCTTATTTTTTCCCCCTATGAGATGTGTTTTTGAATATATGTCAGAGTTCTGAAGGGAATCCAAAATAGTGGCTACTGTTTTTTTATTTTTGGTGAACTGTGTTCCCTAATCATGTTTGTACCAAAATTTCACTCTAGTCTGGTAATAAGACATTTTGTAACTGCTAACATTATATAACTATTTTGCATTCAGTGTTTTAGCTCTAGACTGATGTTAAGGGAAGACAGTATATATTTCAAAGTATTATTCGTTCATAAATATCTTAAGGAGATGAGGATTGTGGCATCAGATTTATTTTATTGTTGTGAGGCAAGAGCTGAAATACTAGTCCAAAAACTTACTGAGTTTGGTAACTTTAAAGTTTGTTTAGTTAGGATGTTTAAAGGCCCAAACTCTCAAACCAGACTTTAATGTACTTAATTCCACATTTCTTAGTCATGTTTTTCTTTTCCTACCTTATTGACTTGTGTGGTGCCTGAGAACC